AACTATACTCCTAAATCCCGTTTTTTACGAGCTTTCATTTGGTATAAAATTCATTATTTACTCAAATTGAAACTATAGCGGTATCACCCCTATCAAAATATTATTTCCAACCCTGTATATTCAAAATATTTAATTGTCTACATGTATATTTCCATAAAAAAACAACAAAAAAATTACACATGTATTCTACTATCATGCATAATAAAATATTAAAATTTTATTAAAACTAATTCACAAAAAAATTATAAAATAATACATGCACGAGATCTAACTGTTGTCTCTTGTCGATTACGAGTCATATGTACAGAAGTAGTTATATTCGTAGTAATAGTAGTCGTAACATTAGTTTCATCAGAAGATTTAATCATATCCATCATTTGATATTTAAAAAAGATAGCTTGTGCTGCATCACGAAATCGAAAATCTTCATAATTATCAATTTGTTTATTGTTCTTCTTATGAATACCATCACTCATTCATTCTATTTAAAAATTTTATATAAGTAAAATATATATAATTATCTCTACCATTATGCTTAAGATTGTCATGGTTTTTTTCTTTTTTATATTTACGATATTAAATATAGAAACATGAAAAATATGATAGTGACATCTCTTAAAATATATATATATATAATTCATTGATTTAACCAATCAAAATTTAAATGTTTATTTCAGAGTAGTTGTCTGTCTTTGTATGCATTGGCTAGTCAACTAAGTTCAATTAGTTAATCATTTATAGGAACAATTTAGGTGAATCTTTGATTGAAATAAAAAAAAAACAAAAACAAAAGATTATTATAATAATGACTGAAACAAAATTAACTGGTGAAGTCAACAAAGTTGATCGATCAATTGATCGATTAAAAACATGTCCATTGTTATTACGTGTTTTCTGTAATAAAAATCGTCATCATTTAGCTAGGTTTATTTTTATATTTAGAATTTTTTTTTTTTTCTAATAAATTTATTTTTTTTCGTTAGGGAATATGAACATGAACATACACCAGAAAATGAACTTCAAATTTATACATGGATGGATGCAACATTAGGTGAATTAACAAAATTAATTAAAGAAGTTAATCCAGATGCACGTCGTCGTGGTACACAATTTTCATTTTCAATTGTTTCAGCTGATGATTCACATAATCGTTATTATCTTACGGATATTGGAAAAACTGAAAATAGTCCAAGAAGTTCAGATGATAAATTACAATTAAGAAGTACACGTTTTCGAATAGGTGATTATCTTGATGTTGCTATTAATCAAAAAAGACAAGAACAATCAACATCAAATATACGACGTGATCGAACAATTCAACAATCATCAGATGATAATAATAATAATAATAATAAACGACGTAGTGGTCCTATTAATGAAAGAAATGGTGGTGGACCTGTTCGATCGGCTCCACGAAATGATCATCGTGATCGTCCTTATTAAATTCAATAGACATAATTCATTATTATACTCCGCCTACTTCATTTTCTTTTTTTTTTTGTCTTGTACATGGTGGTTTATGTTCGTAAAACATATTTGATGTTTCACGTTTTTTTTTGTTTGTTTATTGAATACTTCAAAGAAAAGAATGAAATGATAAAAACTTTCTTCTTTACATCATGATATTCCAATAAAAGGTATTGAATACATATCTATTCTAGAATAATAAAATTGGATATTTATTTAATGTAAAATATATATCAAATGATTAAATCATTGTCATACGTATATGTATATTTGGATTGAATAAAAAATAGAACAAAAAAAAGCAAAAAAGAACATGTCTTATTGAATGATTATAATTATGCTTCGTTTACTATGAGAATGAAATTTAATATTGTAAGTGTAAAAATTTGAAATCTTAACTACTATTTTCAAGAAAAGATTAGATATGTAAAAATGAATAAATTTGTATGTTTAGAACAAAAACAAAAAAAAACAATAAATTTGACAATAAGTAAAGCATAGTGATAAATAAAAATTTTATTTCATTTTTTTGTGAGTATTATTTATTCAGTATATTGATTATCACATTAATGAATATTAGATTCTTTTGAATGGAAACTAGTAAGAATTGTTTATCATTCAAAAAAATTATAAGAAGCGGATGTTGTTTCTATTAAAAAAATAAACGTTTTAGAAGAAGCCTTGTTTTTTAATATTATAGTTACATTATGATCTTTTTTTTTTCTATCAGTGCACAGAGTAGATGAGAAAATGTTTCATCGTATTTTATCTTTTCACCTTTGTCCTTATTATGGTTTTTTTTATTCTGTTCTATCCTTCCATAAATGTGATGCACATAAACGAGATCTAATATTTCGCATTCCGTTATAGACAACAAGCGGTAATAAGTTAAAAATGATATCATTTCGAACATTTCTTTTAATTATTACTGTAATTTTGGCTATGATCATTGCTCGTTATTTTGTTCCTGTTCATGTACCTGGTCCAATGGTACATCCATTGAAATATAGACTTATTTGTGGTTGTTTTGCACTCGTACTTGATGTTGTAAGTTGTATAAAACAATAAAATTTTTCTCAAAAAAATTTTTTTGTTTTAATTCTTTGTTTTAAAGAGTCGTTTTCTTGAATCTATCACTGGTATTCCTTATTATACAATACTTAATACAATTGTTGATTCTTTTGATCCTATTAAAATACGCCCATTCGATCATGGTGAAGTATCGGTAAATATTCAAAAGATATTATTTTTATTTTTATTCTTATTCTTGAATATTTTAGTTTCATGATCAATTTATTGAAAATGTTCTTGTTCGAATATATACACCAAAAGATGTATCTAGTACATCATTATTACCTGTTATTATGTTTTTTCATGGTGGTGGATTCTTTTTTGGAAGTATTTGTAAGTTATCTATTTATTTCAAAGAATATGAATAAATCAATATTATTTATTTATATAGATTCACATGATACTATGAATTATCATATGTCGATGTATACAGGTGCAAAAGTTATAGCTGTAAAGTAAGTTGAAATTATTCATAGAAAGAATATTAATTGTGTATACTTTTAGTTATCGATTAACACCAAAAGTTCATTATCCAACACCAGTTGATGATGGTGTTAAAGTAGCACGATATGTAATTGATAATTATCAAGAATTTGATATTGATCCTACACAAGTTTTTCTATGTGGTGATTCAGCTGGTAAATATATCATACAAATTTCTGTTAATATAAATGTAAATTTTTATGAATTATAGGTGGTGGTATGGCTGTAGTTGTCGAAAGACATTTACGTCGTGAAAAAAAATCAATAATTCGTGGTGTTCTTCTTCTTTATCCATTACTTCAACTTGTTAATTTTCGTTTATCATCATATCGTACTTATTTACCATATCGTTTATTATCATTACTTCGTGAAGATATTCTTGTACAAGTTGCAAATTTTTATATAAATACAACATTTTCTCATGATGAACTTTTTAATAATCGACATTTATCATTAGATGATTATAAAAATTTTTATTCGAAAATTAATTTAAAAAATTTAAATAAAGATGATGATATGAATACATATGATTTATTATCTAAATCATCTCATCCTGATACTTGGAAATTATTTAATGAGAATGTTTCACCATTATTAGCTGATGATGAAATTTTTCATAATAGTCCAGCAACATTTATTGTTGCTTGTACATATGATATACTTTTATCTGATGCTCAATTATATTTTAAACGTTTACAACAATTGAATGTTACAAATATTATTTATAGAGAATATCCGATATTTCATGGTGTTATGACATTTGTTGATTTTCCGGTTGCTTTCAAGGAAGCTTTTGATATTATTAATGACAGTGCTCAATTTGTAGTTAATAGAACTACTTTAGTAACGTAAAATCTGTTGATATAGAATGAGTAAAAATGAAATAAAATGAATGAAAAATATCATTTTATTGTCAGATGAATGTTTTATTAATTAACGAAAAAAAAAAGCCAAAGAGAAATTCATATATAAATGTGAACTATGTCTATGTTTTATTTTTTTTTTTTTGTTTGTTATTTTCATTATTGTCCTTTCGCAAAAAAAAACAAAAACATTCGAACTTTAAAAGATTTATCTTTATTAAATTAAATTTATTTCAGTATGTCATAACAAATGGATTACATTTATAGCAATGTCATACCATTCTAGAAATAAAAACATGTGTATTTCTTTTTTTTACTGAACATTTCTAAGGTATATTTAGTGAAAAATTATTAGAATATCCATCCGATTTATAAATATATCTTTTGATTTGTGTTTTTCATTAGTATTTTTATGAAAATAGTTTTTTCTTTCTCATTCTAACGTGTTGAATGTACATGACCTTGGCTAAATATTCAATAAATAACATATTTCATATTTTCACTATTAAAAGAAAAAACGAACAGAACAGGTCACATTAGCCATGTTTACTTTTCTAACAAAACAAAACTATGATTAATGTATTATTGATTTTTTTGTATTTGAGAATTGTGTATTCTAGATAAGACATGGCTCGTACTGCTCAACGTTTAGCCATTGTAGGTGCTATTGTAGCAAGTATTATTGGATATCTGTATCAAGCACCTCATAGTGAAGGTATCGATCAAATGAATCGTGTACGATTATTAGGTGCTTCAATGAAAATAGCTCACTTAATTGTATGTAATATTTTGTTTATTTATTTTATATTAAAATATTTTTCAATTTTGAAGGGTAAAGTATCTGAACTATTAGGCTTATCTAGTGAAGCTATAATTATCCGAAAAGCTGCTAACTTAGTACGACTTTTGAAAGATAAACAAGAAGATGCTGATCTTCAAGTAAAAATAATTAATATTTTTTTTTCAAACATATTTCTTATTTTTATGTTTTAGATTGAAAACACATTAATTGAAAATGTACCAGTTAGAATTGCTCGACCATTGAATAATAATGATAATTTACCAGCCATTGTTTATTTTCATGGTGGTGCTTTTTACATGGGTTCTGTTGGTGAGTTTGATCAATATATACAGACAAACTTTTCATATTTATCAATAAAATTTTAGATTCACACAATGCAATTACAAGTACTTTAGCACGATTAGCCAATGTAGTTGTTATCTCTGTAGAGTAAGCAGTTTTGTAAATCATAAATATTTATTATTTGATGTGTGATATTTTATTTAGTTATCGTCTTACACCTGAACATCCCTTTCCGGCTGGTCTCGATGATTGTTATACTGTTGCAAAATATGTTCTTGAACATGGTGATTCAAAAAAATTACGTATTGATCGAAATCGTGTTGCTTTAGCTGGTGATTCTGCTGGTATGTTTTGTTTTTCTTTATAGTTCAATGATTTTTTTTTAGTACCTAGTTGAGAAAAAATCCGATCTAATAATTCATTCGACAGAAAATTTTTCACTTTAAAGATCTGTCACGACGATCGAACAGTAAAAAAAAACTTATTTAAAAGCTTTTTAGATATCAAAAATTTTTTCGATACCTCATAGGATCTTTTTCTGACAGACCCACATAATTGATTGTTTTGTTTTTTTTTTGATTAAAGATAATCTAAAGGTTTCCGTTATTTAGTTGAAACGTTAAATTATATTCTATTCAAGATTTAATTCTGCGCTCAATAGTAGAATAATAAACATTTCATAGAACACTTCTGACTTTTGAAAATACAAATTTTCGAACATGTATTCAAAAAGAAATACTATCATGTGTTAGTTCCATATTTTTTTCTTCTAAATCACATCATCCTAAGCCTTACAAAGATCTTAGAAGTATAGAATGAAAAATTTCCGTTGAACGCACTTAGAATAGATTCTTTAAACTATGCTTTAGATTTTGACAATCTCGTGGAATAGGTGATGCTATATTATATATTGAGACAAATGATACAGAAGCTTTTCTAGATTATTTCGCAGATCACTTCACTTTTTTCAATTAGTCATACGTTACAATTAGATAAATACCAACATCATTAGATTTTGTTTTTTAATAAAAATTTCAGTTGAAAAAAGAATAAAATCTTCAAAATTATATTCATTCTTTTTCTATTGCAGAAATTAAACCTTTTTCATATGTATTTCAGGTGGTAACATGGCTACTGTTAATGCCATGCGTTTTGTTACTCATTCTACCGGTCAATATTTACCTCGTCTTCAAATTTTAATATATCCTCTTTTGCAATTATTCGATTTAATGCTTCCATCTTATATTGATCACTATTATCAATTTTTTCAATACACTGTTGATCATACTATGTCATTGTATTTAAATGAAAAAATTGATGCATCAATATATGCAAATAATCATACAAGTGTTAGCCAAAAAAAACATTATCGTAAATATGTTGATTGGTCTTTAATACCATCAAAATATCGAGCAGTTTATAAAAATCCTATTACAGATGATAAGGAAGGTGATCCAAATCTTATTGAAAAAGCTAAAAAAATTCTTAGTCCAGAAATTTCTCCATTACTTGTTGAAGATGAACAACTAGCCAAATTACCACCAACTTTTATATTAACTGTTGGTCATGATCGTTTACGTGATGAATCATTCATATATGCAGGTCGTCTTAAACGTATAGGTGTTCCAGTTGTTCATAATCATTATGAACATACATTTCATGGTTCAGTAGGCCTTTTATATGGACCATTAGCATTAAACATTGCACATCAAATGATCGGTGATCTCGTTACACACGTCAAAAATAATTTATAGGCATTATTTTCCGTGTTTTTCTTTTCTAAAGACATTATGTTTTGTTCATTTCATTTTATATTCATAATCATCCTCCCGTTTCTTTACTTACTTCAATTTCAGACAAATTTTATGTTATTTCAATAAAATATTTGATTTATTGAAGTAATTATATATCTAAAATATATTTCATGCTAGTATATTGCTTTGAATAAAAACAATGCTGATGTGTTTTCAGTTATATTTAATGAGTCAAACTACATCTATAAAACTTCACTAAAGAATATTAAAAAAAAAATTAATGTCTAACAAAGATGAAAGAATTAGTATTACAATAGATTATCATTTATCGATCTTTTGTTGGTATCATACAACTTCGATCCTCATAATAATACTTTTTACTTTCTGCACAAATATAAGATTATCATCGGATATGGACACTGTCAACGAAGTATTTTTGAGATTTATTGGTAACTGAACAACAAATTTTTGAGCATTCGATAATCGCATTACAGTGTTCTCTGATCGTTTCATTGACTTCGTTGATAATGTTTTTTTTTCATAAAATACTTCTCTTTTATTGTATCATATTTTTTAACAGCAAGTTTTTCGTCTTCTGTATTTTCAATCAATACTATGTAAGGAAGTAATTGTGATGTTTCAAAAGTAATCGCACATTAATGATCAGTAGCTATTTCTCAAGCGATTTCATTCAACAAGTAAAATCTTTCAAAATCAAGCATACTATAAAATAAGCTGGTTTCAATTATTAATGCTCATTGAAATTGTTTTCTTGCACAATACGACATTTATTCGAGAATTTGACAATTGAATCATCATCTAAATAACATTTGCTGGCAAGTGCGTCTTTTCTTAAAATGAAACTTCACAAAATATTCATTGAAAGAATTATTTCTATGATATGTATGCTAAGACATATTCAAATACATACGTATTCATATAAATGGTTTGGAATGTCAATCAATTCTCTGCAGCACATCATCTATTTTGTTATGAGCATGAACTCATATAAAGAATTATGCAGTGATCAAGTCTTAAAAGCTTGCTAGTCTGCTAGGATTAAGCTAAAAAATGGTTCTCATCATACTAATATGTACGCTATGTTTTGTAAAGAAATTCTTGAATCATAATTGGGTTGTTGATCCATACGGTGGAGACATGGTGAGAAAAGTTACGTGATATTCATGACATGAAAAACAATATCGTTGTCTAATCAAACATAGCCTTAGTACCTTCAGTAAACTTTAAAGAGATATTAGAATAATTATAATGCTAATCATTCTCAATTATTCTTGAGCATTTATCCAAATATGGAACAAAAAGAAAACAACATTCTTAAAATAATATAAAAGATTAATTTTATGCCAAAGAGTTATAGACATACATATGCGTATATAAAAACAATATCTATACATGTGGTTTAATTTGTCTAAAAAAGAAAGAAAAATGTAATTTCAAGCTACGTGCAACATTTTTCTATTAGATTCTTTTGATAATATATAATAGAAGCTTCTTATGAATAAAGAAGTGCTCGAGTGTATGATTTGTTGTGACAATTCATCGTACGTGAATTCACACAGTGTTTAATATGTATCACGGATACATTACTTTTCGATTCCACATATGTGTTTGTAAGATTTTTGGGAATCAAATTAGATCTTGAATCAGAACTCAAAGTTTTTTCCACGCCTTGTTGATAGATAGAGTAATTTTTTATGCAATCGTTGGTGCATTTTTTTGGCTTAGTTTATTTAAGGTGGACATTGTACGATTTTATTGAAGGAATTGTTAGAGATATTTAGTAAATGAATTTGATGAATAAAGATGTGCTAATAATGATGTATCAACAAGGATACGTTCAGAATTAAAGTCATTGACATGAGAATATTGATGTTTCACACGTATAACAGAGCATTATATCGTATATTAAAATGAATATGACTTGAATTATTAGATATATAAAGTAAAATATAAGGTTCAATTTTAGGTATATGAGAAGACACTTGTTCTGAATTGTTCACTTTCATTTGTAATAAATGCAGTAAGAAAATCAATCGATGCACTTATTTTCGGTTGTATTTCTATATTAATATATATATTTATGCTTTTACTAGTTGAATATTGATTTCATCAATGATTAAAGTGTTTTTCACGAAGACATCGTCGATCTAACTAGATTATGAGAGAAAGAAAAAAAACATGAATAAAAAATTTCTTTACATTAGCAATCTTGAATAAACACTACATAAATTTCATTCTCTGATATTTGATATTGAAGTAAATTTTGCTCCTACTCTACCAAATGAATATTGGCTAGGACTCGTTTAAATGCTGAACCCATTGCTTTGCGATGAATTTTTCGATAGAATTCATTATTGCAAGCACAACAATTCGTATCGAATATAAAATGTGCTATCTATCGATTACGATCCATACTTGATGTACTACCCTTGCCGTGATTCGAATATTTCTCTAAACATTCGTATTAATGTATGTATGGCATTTTGTGGTAGTACCATAGTATAGAGATCTTGGACATCAAATGTAATAGATTTTTTTGTCGATGTTAAATAATCATTCGCAATATAGATTTTCAAGGTTCGAGCTGCATCAATATCATTAGTAAAGATCGTTTGACGAGTTACTTGTAAATAGATTGGTGCTACAAGATTATTAGAAAATTGTGGTACTAATGTTGTTGGTACATGTATAGATGCAGTAACTCAAGAAGGCAAGCAAATGAGAAAAATGGCGTTTAAACAGTGCGGATGAGTGGAATTAATTCGAATAATTACATCACAGTATCGTTTTTCTTATTCATATTAGCACTTCACAAATTCCGTTATGTTTCTGACATTACTTCATTATTCGAACATACATTTGAAATCATACAATATGAATTTATTTTTACATGTATTGCAGAAGAAAACTAAAAGTAGTCCAATGTTTCAAATTAGGAGCATGACGAATAAAATACAACAGAATATCATGATTCACATCAAGCAATAATCGATGAAAAACTATTTCGACGATTGTTGAAAACCTTAAGTGAATATCTTGTCTAAAACCATTTATTTGACATCAATGAATCACAGTTGAAGAATGAAAGTAAATAAAGCTAAACTTAACTTTGCACTGGCACAAAGCAACATATCAACAATAGACGAAAGTCATAAGACAAAAATCTGAGAGACAAGCGCTAATTAACATACTTTATTGAAGAGTTTGAACTACAATTAAAAGATGTTAAATTTGAAACAGTATTCTGATCTCTGTTTATGACCATTTCTATTCTCTAAATTTATCTATATCTTTACTCAATATTTTTCAGCTATAAAATCATGAGTTTCTTAATGTTAGAGAAACCTCATAAAACTTGAGTAAAGACGATTAACAATGGTAACTTCGAATTTACAATAAGTTTATCCATAGAAATATGAAAAAAACATGTTTTCACTATCAGTCGAGCGTGTTTGATCCATAATTTTCAGACCTCTTTAGAACATTGAATTTTTCAGTCTCAATAATCTTAGGAGAGTTATGCAAAAATTCATTTTTTGTTTGCTTAGACAATAGTTTCTAGACTGAAGATAGCTTGAGCTACCATAAAGGGTTAGTTTAGTACGAGTAGATTATGAGTCAAGTACTGTGCTATATGATCATAATCGTTTTGTTCAGTTCTTCATGAAAAATGAATATTTTTTTGAGAAATTGAAATGAAATTTATTTTGATAGAAAAATATTTTGGAAAAGTATAATTTAAACTTGAATGTCGCCTCTTTCATTTAAAACAAGGACATCTTCATGAATTGACCTAAAATGGTATTTTTCATGGTGAATGTTATCCATTTACTTTATTTCGACAAGGATTTCTTGCTTCTTGTTGTCGACATTATTTTCTGTATTTGACCCAATGCTACGAGTAATCAGAAGTCTTTTAACCAAATAACTCAAAACTAATGAATCATACCTCACTGTTCGAAACTTTCTTGAATGTTCATATGTAATAAATCTTCGACATTAAATTAAACTTTTTTTGACAGGTGATATTATAATGTATTTCTATGAAAATATGATGTATGTCATGGGCAACATAATAAAAGCTGACACTTGTCCCTCAAAACCGATTCATAATTCTTCTCTTAAAACTTCAGCTATTACTAAAGTGCATTATTCAAAAAAATACACAGATGAAATCATCCAACAGAGAAAACTATCTCAACATTGTTAACTAAGTGACATATATTCATGCTTATTTTATTAATAAATTGATGATCTTAAAATCAATATGACTACTTATAGATTTATATCGAAAAGTGAAGAAAGAAGTAATTTTATAGATGTTCCTATCATTGAAAATGATATGAAACGAATATTAATATCAATAGATGTCAGTTTTGTTCAGTGACTTAAAATTTTCTCCTATTCTTTTTCAATGATTCGTTTGTTGTTCCTTGATAAAAAAGTTAATTATACGAATTATTAACATGATCTCTTCTCAAATAAATTACGATATATAAATAAATCAAGGCTAAACTAAAGTTATTGAATGACTCATCAATCCGTACTTTTTGTACGCCCTGTAATAACACATAGTACACTAAAAAATTGTATTTGCTATTTAAATTTTATGTATCATTATTACGCAGATCAATATCTTAATTGCCTAGTTCGAAGAAAATCACTTATTTATTAGCACTAATTTTTATTGTCACAATCATGGATCAATCAGACATTGTTGAATTACCAGCTATACCATCTGATGCACCTGAATGGGTACGTGTTTTACCATCAAATGGTCGTTTTGTTGATCGTACTAAACTGTATGATATAACGGGTCATATTTTATTTGATTCATTACTTAATTCAAATGGTATTCGACATTTTTTCTTTTTTATGGCTAATGAACAACAAGCACAACGAGCACAAAAAGCATTTAATAGTGATTTAACTAGTCCATTTTCATCTATTCATGATGATTCGATAACTAATGATAAATTAGAAGTTCAAGTTGCATTTCATCTCGGTGAAGGTATTTGTGGACATAAAGGCATTGTGTAAGTTTAATAAAAAAAGAATTAATATAATTTATCGATTTTATTATTTTTCAATAGACATGGAGGACTTACAGCTACTATGCTTGATGAAGTTAGTGGTGCTGCTGCGTAAGTTAATTTATATTAGTTGAATAGAACAACATATATTTAATCATCGAAAATAGATTTTCCTGTGTTGGTCCTTGTTTTACGGCTAATCTTAATATAGATTATCTTAAACCATTGATGACACCAGCATGGGTTTTAGTTCGCGCTCATGTTGAAAATCATAAAGGACGAAAAGTATATGTACATGGTACTGTGGAGAATGGAGAAGGTATTGTTTATGCTAAAGCTATTGGTTTATTTATTAAACCTAAATTAAGTGTACAAGAACATGTTCAAAAGCATCAAGAAAAAGAATAAATAGTCATTTTTTTGTCTGATGTCTATGTATTGTATATTCAAATAGATTTTTTTACTTGAAATTTATTGATGTTTTTTTTTATTTGTCGATTTAGAAGAATAATATCGTTTTACAATAAACGAAATTCGATTAATTATAGATGCTTTATTGAAGAATTGTTTTCAACAATGATAATCTCTATGTGAATTCTGTCTTTTTGTTGTTGTTATAGTTTTCTGTTACTATTCCATTTTATAACTTTATATCAAAACTAATAAAAATAAATTATAAAACGATTCAAATATATAATTATTTTATTTCAATTGTATCTCCAGATGAATAAAGGAAACTAAAATTTTGTGCAATATTTATATTTATATTTATATATATATATATATGTCTACATCTTAATCAGACAATCAAAAAAATGTCTGAATTTTTATTTTTCAATTGATACAAAAAAAAAAACATATACGCATTCATCAATGAAAACAACTAATATTTGTTATTGCTACACAATGTTACATTTTCTTGCTAAAATTCTTTTTTTAACGTTATTAATATTTATTTATTGTGAAATTATTATTTATTATTTTGTTTTATTGGGTTGTTCATGGTCACAATTATCTAAACTTGATCAAGATTTTTCTATTCAACCACCAAAAGATCCAAATAAAAAACCATTACATGTTATGTTTATTGCTGATACACATTTACTTAGTTCATATGAAGGTCATTGGTTTAATAAATTACGTCGTGAATGGCAAATGTATCGTTCATTTCAATCGGCAATTTTTTTATTTGAACCACATATTATTTTTTTTCTTGGTGATTTAACTAATACAGGTCAATGGTATTCTGATCAAGAATGGAATAAAACTATTCAACGATTTCATTCTTTATTTTCTGTATCATCTAATGTACGTTTATATGTTATTGCCGGTAATCATGATATTGGTTTTCATTTTGATGTAACTGATAAAAGTTTAAATCGTTTTGAACAATCATTTCAAACACCACATGTTCGTTTATTAACTATTGATGATGATAATATACATTTCATATTAATTAATTCAATAGCTTTTGAAGGTGATCAATGTCGTTTATGTGAACGTGCTGATAATGAATTAAATGATGTTATTCGTGAACTTAATCAAACCGATTTATTGACTAAACCAGTATTATTATCACATTTTCCTTTGTATCGTTCATCAGATGTTAATTGTTCAGGACGATCATCGACAAGATTACAAGTAAATTTGTTACTGTGTTTTTGTTTTCTTTTTATTCTAATTAATCATTAATTTATAGAGAAGTTTTCTTATGCATTAGATTTGTTTTAGTGAATAGATTTTCATATTAAACTATTCACAAAACATTTCAATAAGGTTAAGTAACTTCAAATCTAAATAACGAAATCAATTCTATGTCGATTGTAATTACAACTAGTAAATAACAATATTAATGATTCCTTACTCTCAAATCAACACTTATACAAATAACAAAATCAAAACAAGTTAATAGTTTCTTTTTTTTGACAAATTTAAAATTGATTAATGAATAGTAAAATAGTATATATCCATTATTCATGAGTTGAAATTCTTTATTTAAGGTTATGATTTAAATAGTCATTAAAACGATATATGCATCAGAGATACGCACGTCAGTCTTGAGTCATAGCTCATACTTATGCACATCGCACACTTCTTTCGAATTTTTTTGCTCTCTGAACGTATTTTGCCACGACTGATTCGTTTCTTTAGTGTTCTCCCAGAAGATTTCAAACCATGGGATAGTGAAGTACACGCTAGAGCGTAAGGGTGACTTCCAGATCTCTAACACAACTGATCAATATTAACGTTGAATTATCAGTATAAACAAAGTTCATTTTACACCAGTGAACAATTCAGATTTGGTCAATGAAAAACATAGACTTTATCAACAGAATCTTTTTATTCATTATAAACTAGGGTACGAATGTAAGTTCCAATAGGTTTTATTTCATTCACATCTCGATTTGCTCCACGCTCACAAGCTTCATAATCATCGTATTTAACTTCATCTATATAAACGTTTTACACTATCCGCATATCAAAAATAGAAGCATAGAGTACTTGAATCAATGTCGTACATAGTATCTGTAGTACATGATATAAGACAATAAAGAATAGAAGAAAAAAATTTGAATCGCTCTATAACGTATTTCAATTTCTATATTTATCCTTTGATTTAATTGATTTTTAGTAAATTTTATTCACTGATTTTTAGACTTATCGACAAGCTTGACTCACTGATAATTTATTCATTTAAGAAATTTTCTGAAAAATTATTCTATTGACTAAACAAATATTTTCTTCCTTTTGATTTACTCTAAATTATATTTGTACTAATTTTTTAGTCTACTTCACAATATCCAATACATAAAGAACGTTATGATGTTCTCTCACAAGAAGCAACTAAACATCTTTTAACAACAATTAAACCTCGTCTTGTTTTTACAGCTCATACACATAGGTACTGTTATACAGAACATAATACTAAAAATGATAAAATAATTCCCGAATGGACAGTACCATCATTTTCTTGGCGAAATCAAGATGATCCATCATTCATGCTTTTATCAATAACAACTAATAATCAACGTGTATCACATTGCTATTTACCACGTGAAACAACAGTTTTTTGGTCATATGCTATTGGTGGTTTTCTTCTTATTTTTTATATATTATTTGGAGGACGACGACCTTTTTATTTAGTTGCTTGTTGTTTTTTAAGAAAAATGTTTAAAATATAGAGAAAGAAAAGAAAAACGAAAATGAAAACGATTTAGTTCTATTACAGATGGCTGATAATATTAATCATTTAAATGAAATAATGATGTCAATGGCAAAAAAAAAACGAGGTTTAAATAAAACATTTTGTCCATCAGAAATTGCTCGACAATTAGCATCAAAAAAAGATCATTGGTGTTCATTTATGGAACCTGTTCGATTAGCTGCTACTGAATTTATTGATAAAGATCAATTAGTATGCAAACAATGTGGTGAAATTGTTGATATTCGAACAGCAAAAGGACCTATTCGACTACAAATAGCTTCCAATTGAGAATGTTTCTTTGTAAAATTCGCTATTTTCTTCTTCTTCTATTAATACCTATTACAAACAAAATCAACCAATTGCTAAATAAAAATACATTGCTGCATATCTATCATTACATTTCTCGTACGAATTGTAAATCAAATTATTTTCTACGGTTGAGTCGGCAAATCGCTTCAAAGAAAAGTTTCGATTGTCAAAATGAAGCGCATATTTTCTTCTAGTTATCCATACGGCATGTATTTCTTTCCAAAGATTTTTCAGAGAACTATAATTGGATTTAAAAATCATATAAAAAAAAATAATTACTTCGAATTGTAATCAATCTGATTCAAGTACGAGTAGACATGTACCAATCCCGAGCACAGCTTCGAGTTTTCGAGTCAAACGTGGTAAGATTGAACTCGACTCGAACTCGATCCTGTAAACTTGAACTCGACTTGAACTCGAACCTCAAAACTCGAACTCGACTCGAACTCGA